TGTCCTTCAAATACATGAAGCTCATTCTGGCCTCTGAGCTTTTGCAGTTGCTATTCCTTCTGCCTGATGTGCTCTCCCCTCAGATCTTTCTCATTATTCAGGTCTTAGTTCAAATGTTATCTTCTCAAAGAGGACTTTTCTAACTACCCTATCAAAAAATAAACTCCCATCTCTCTCTATTATATTGTTATATTGTCTGCATAGCATTTATTGCCACCTAAGCTTGTGTTGTTTATTTTCTGCATCTCCTCATGAGAAAGTACTATTTATTAGGATCTGGTCTGTCTTGTTCATAGCTGGTCCTCCAAGTATACAGGCACTCCATAAATGGTTGATAAACAAATAAATGAGCTCCATTTTACAGATAAGGAACCAAGTTTCAGAATGATAAAAGTGATCTTACCCAAGAACACAAAGCTGGGCCCACGAGTCGAGATTTTCTGAGGCCCACGCTCATACTCTTTGCCCTGTTGCAACACATCTCCTCCCGCTCCCCGCTGCATTGTCTACTGCTGCATCTACCTTTGCGCATGTCTTCTTCCCCTCCACCTCCTCGACCTTTGCTTGTTCCTCTACAGACCTGCTTCCTGGCCTTCCTTTTTTCTCCATTTATACTTTTCTTTTGGCTTGAGGTCCGTTCTCCCTGGAGAGTCCCTGCTGTTTTCTAGGACAGTTCCCCTAAACCTTCCGGAAGCCCACAGAAGTAACAAAAGCTGTCTATTTGGTGGTGCGGTGGAATGTGGGACGCCTGCCTGCTGCATCCCAGAGACAAAGGGAATGTGGGCGGTAGAAGAAAGGGATTTGGGGGCCACGAGCTCAGTCCTAGGGAGCAAGAGAAGCAGTCTCATCTGCTTCACTTAAAAGATGCATAGAGTCCCCTCCAGTCACTTCTCATTGGCTCACTGCTTTTCCCATGGTGCCCTTGGAGGGACAGGAAAAAGCAATCTGGTTTGGAATTCAGTCCTAATCACCTACCCATGGCACTGACCAGGAACCAAGGAAAGGGATGCAAGTGTGAAGGGAGGCAGATGAAGGAGAGAAAAAGAAGAGGGTTAATACAGATACAAGGGGTGACACGAGAGGACATAAACGGGAAGGGGAGGACAGAAGAGCCAGGCAGAGATACAAATAGAAAGGAAATTAGGTAGAGAGGGGGAATAGAGAGACAAGGAGAAAGGGCAAGAAGAGTAGAGAAAAAGAGAGGAGAAAGTACTGAATTAGGTTATGTTTGCTTTGCTTCAGCCAAACCCTCAAGACAGAAGCACTTGGATGGCCACCACCTCTCCAGCTTGAGTGCTGGGACTTACCTTGGAGCTGCTGGATCTGCTTGGTGAACACCTCTGCCTGCTGGGCGCTAG